GTCTCATCGAGACGAATCGATTGGTACCAAAATCATGTGATCCTGATCGACGGTTCACGAGATATCGTTGGTGCGCCGAATTAGGCACTGCGCCAAATTAGGCATATCTACCTTACTATATACTATATAATTTAAAAACTAATTACTGTATATATGTACAGTATATACTGTATAGTATATTACAGCGTTTTTATATTTATTTTTTATATTTTTTTGAATTTTTTAAATTTTTATAAAATTTTTTTTATATTATTAAGATTAGTATTTAAAATTATATGTATTTAAATTGCAAAAAATATTTTTACTTAAAAAATCATACACCGGACTAACCAAATTTTAAGATAATATATACATAAATATAAAACACTATAAATACGTTTTAACAATATTTAAAAAAAAAATACTCTAAACTGTATAAATACAATTGTAAATAATCAATTAATCAGAAAAAGTTAACCTATAAGTTTGAAACCGATTTTATTTTCATGTTAAAATCGGTTTTAATATATATACTAGAAATACCAGAAAGATAGACCATATTATAAACAAACAATAAAATCCGTAAATTGCGCACATACACAGACATACCTCTAGTGTAATGTCCCTCTGAAAATGAAAAATAAATCCGGTTCAAACTCTAGCTATGATCATAGACGGCTACGTCTAACAGGCATCGTATCACCGCAGCTTCACTTAAGAATGCTGCGCAACGTTTTTTTTTTTAAATTTTGGAAATGTTACGCAACGACGTTTTTTTTCTTTTCCTTTTTTTCCTTTCCCTTTTTTTTTTCTTTTTTTTTTTATTTCGGAATATTATACAACATAAAATACGAACATGACCAGTGAGAGTTTCCGGATTATAACTTATTAGTGGCATATTGACATATTTAATTGAAGATCATAGTCGACTAAGCCAGCTTAGCCGTATCGAAATTATCAACTCAGCTAAGCTTATAAGCTTTTAATCAACTACGTCAGACATGGTAAAGAAAATGGTCTTTGTAGTTGAAGTATTGTTCTCCGTCCTTTGTGATCTTTGACGGGATGCCTCTAATTCTTCTGCATAATCCGGATCTAAATCGTCATCATCGGGATACTCAATTATTGTTTCCGTTATAACGGATGTTGAATTACGTGTCACTGATATATCATTGTCCGTTGATTCTGCTGGTATCGGTGGTAATGGTATAGTCGGGGGTGGGAGAGAAGGAGGTGGATGAATCATTGTACGAGACATGAGATTTGAATGTGTAAAACGAGTTGGTGTTAATGTTTTTATTCTATCATATGATGATGGTCTTGACGTATCATTGGAAACTCTTGATCTAGGTACTGAATTTTGGGTTATTGTACATTTTGGTCTAGGAGGAGGTAAAGGTAAGGGAATACTCGGTGGAGGTCCAAGTTGATTAATAGATAGTAAGTCTTCTGGTGAAAATGAATTTTCAGATCTTATAAGAGGAGGTGATCTTGACGAACGAGGAGGTGGTGGTAATGATGTCCCTATAATAGCATCATGCTGATTTGTCTTAAAAAAGTTTGTTGGCATAATTATCGGAATACTTTGTCTAATGCTATTTCTTTCTTCCCTTTTTATGGGTGGAGAGAGACGTTTACGAGGTGGTGTAACTGTGCTTATTGATGATCCTATATTCATAGGACCAGAATCATTTCTTACATGTGATAATTCCCGTATATCATTAGGGTCAGAATATGTTGCGTGCTCATTTGATATGACCTGACCATGTCTCGTTCTTGGTGGTGATAAAGTCTCAACTGGAGAAGAAGGACGTGATGGACATTCTGATGTCTTCTGGTCTAATTTCGTTGGAGACCCAATAAATTCTTCTACATCACCATTCACAATAAGGTGAGGTGACAATGGATGAATTGGTGATGTCAAGTTTGTTGTAGGAGAAGGCGAACGAGATTTTGATCGAAGTGGAGGAGGGATCGGTCTCGGCGGAGGAGGAAGAGAGATTTGTTCATACGTCTTATTATTTTCTTCAGAAGATTTCTCTACTGTAGGTGGAATTTCCATCGATATTTTTGGTGTTGTAAATATATCTCCGCAACCATCATCTTCATCATCATCAATCGTTTTTAAGAAATGATTAGGAACGTCGGGTAGTTCTTGTTCTTTATATTTACATTTTACCACTGTTGCCTTTAATTCTGCTAGCCAAACTTTCATGTCTTCAACATTATCTGCTTGTAAATACCACGGTTTATTGTCTTTTCTAACTTCTAACACCCAAGATCGACCATTAAAAGCATCACTAACACACACAATAGTATTTGCAGCTAATTCCAAACTGTCCATTAAAATAGCCGTCGGATCACTTGACTTAAAACAATATAAAGTATTTTTGGTTAAGATGAAATATCTTCTTTTCCATGATCTCGATTTTGATAGAACAAAATTAGTGTTTATATATTTTGACAAATGTCCAGTAAATGCTGAAGTATTACGAATACTAGCAACAGTGACATGACTATTAACGTTTGCACGAGAAGATCTAAATTCAGATACTACTTTTTCCATATATGCTTTCTTAACTACTTCATTATCATCCCATCCAAGAATTTTTCCTGCCTTATTTGATTTTATGTCTAATGTCGATAGATCATCATGTATGTCTGATACACCAAGAATTTTATTAACTTTATTACTACTTCCACCTATGATCTGATTACTAATTCTATTTTT